CGAAAGCCCGCGGTGCCCCCGCGACCGCCAAGACCCCCAGCCTCCCCCCGAGTCACGTCACCAAGAGATGTTCGCACAAGGCCACCACCTTTAGCTAAAGGAAACCTTAAAAAAAAAAAAAAAAAGTTTAAAAAGCAGCCTAAAAGTTTTATAGAGTGATGAAATGTTTGCCATACTCTGACACAGCTCTTTCCAGGCAAGGTTAAAAAAAAATTACTTTGGAAAACTAACAGATTTGTTGCTTTCCTTTTCTGGGAAAGGGCATTTTAGGCTAAAAAGGTGCAAGGCTAAAACAAAATCAACCACACCAGCTAAGGGAAAGTAGGCACTATTCCCAAATGCCCCTGGCTCCCCTAAAGCAGCCTGTGACCTTCCTTCCACTCACTGCCAAACTGAGCAACAATACGTCAGAGCGTCATCTCAAAAGTCAAGGTTGGGAGCCATCACAGCCGACTCCAACTCTCGTTATTCTGTTTCTTCTACCTTATCATCAAGGCTGCAAAATTTCCAGAGGGCTGAATTACAGCAAGGTGAAGAAAGGGTAGAGCAAGTCCTTTCCTTAGAAGGAAGGACCATCTCTTCCCACATCCAGCATGGTTTTCTATTTTTCCTCCTAGGAAAGGGTCTCCCCCTTCCCCTGGTTGGCAGCCTGTGAAGATTTACCAAGAGCTCTTTAAACTTCCTCTCTTTAGGCCTCCCCTTCCCCTGGTTGGCAGCCTGTGAACTTCCTCTCTTTAGGCCCCTACAAAACGGGGTCCTCAACGGACCTTCTGGTCCCAGGAACTGTCGTTCTGGCCAGTTTTGCTGCAGATTCTGGATGAGAAGCCCAAGGTGGAACCGTGTTTCTTGGCCACACAAGCAAGGAACCACCCTGGGCTAGTTAATAGCATCCGGCCTCAACAACATCACCAGCCGTCTTAAATAACGAAGCCAAGGCAACTCACCAGAAGTGCCAAAGGCTTTTCTCCCCTCTGTAAGCACTCTTTTGCCCTTAAAGTAGTTACTAGCAGTTCTTTAATCCCTAGGGATGGAAAGGCTGCATGTTTCCTCTACCCGAGAGCCTCCTGCACTGCTGTGGGAAGAGCCACCTCCCTGAAACCCCTCAGGTGTTTGCAGTGCTACAGTCCAACAGCAGAGTCAGAGATGGGACAGCCCCACTGCAGTAGAAGTCGACCTCAGGGCTCAAAAACTACTCTCAGCACAAGTAGAGATTCATTGGAAAGTAACATTTTTAATCCTGATTGGCCTGCTGCATTTTCAGGTTATTTTAAGGAGTCTTCTAGACATTCAGAGGAGGAACCCTTGCAGACACTCCTGCTAGCAGTTAAACACCACAGTTTGGGGAAAAACAGCACTTACTGAGGGGACCTGAATTGGACAGCCCAGGTACTCATGGAAGTGAGAGCCCAAGTAGTGCACGGAATGTAAGAGAGCAACAATATTTACAGCAGTTCAGAGGCAGAGCATGTTGCAGGAGGTCCAATACTGCCTAGGAGTTTCATCCTCCAGTTCTGCATTTGTATCTACCAGCTGGCTCTAAGGTCTGACTCTCAGCCTCTCTAGTGTACCCAAGAGCTGAGCCCACGAGACCAGCTAGAATAGCTCACTGAGAGGAGGCAGGAGCATCCATCCAGTGGTTAGAGTAGGCAGGATGCTCCATCACGCAGCTGTGCTATCGGTTCCGTATTTCCTGGAGGACAAAAAAAAAAATATACCCTCTATAAAGAATTTCAGCACAGAGGGATACAGTTAGCCAGAGGCATTAGCTACAGATTGCTTAAACCTTCAGTTGCTCTTGTTCCACCACAGAAGCAACACCTGGCTGCATCTGTGTCGCTACAGCATCATTTGAAGAGTCAGAAAAAAACCCAAAAAATAACAACTGCTTGAGGTTGCCAAAAAGAACATAAAAATGTGTTTCAACCTGTCCTCTGGTCTCCTCAGCCCCTCTAGTGAAAACTACAGTAGCTTACAAAGAACTGGCCTCAGGTGAAGGAAATAACACTAGTACAAAAGCTGACTAACCCCTCTCGCTAGGGCCTTTTTAGCCCATCAGCAGCGTAAGCAGATCTTAGAAAGTAAAAGACCGACCTTTAACAAATCAGTACCCATAAATACAGAAAAGTGCAGTGTCAAACAGCTACGCAGAGGTAAGCCAGCACGGCACAGAAAGAATAAAGCATGCTGGATTAGTGTTTGCACAGTCAGAGCACTTGGGTGCTCTAGTTCCTCCCAGGGAGGAAGATTATGGTTCTGATCAGTTTGACATTCCTGCAGGTCAACATTTCTCACTCACCTAAGCCTGATCCACTGTATTTGAAATGCAACGGTTTCCCTCTCAAGAGGGACAAACCTCCAATTCAGGACAGCAACTCCCATAGGACTGGTACACAGAGAAGGGGACCATCCCTAGGAGTCAGCCAACGACTGAAATGCTTGTATCCCCGCTGGAACACACCAGAAAAAGACATGGTACAGGTCTGACCTAAAAGCAAAAAACTCTTCCCTGGCAAGAATTGCTGTTAAGTAATTCCAAGGTTACTGTGACCACAGCTTATGTGGGGCAGTATTATGCAAGTCAATGAGGCAGAAAACCCCAACGTCATGCCTGTACTAGCCCCTAGATACAGCTGTCTTCACAGCATGTACTAGATGCCCATTTCTTGTGTTTCAGAATCCTGATTGTAGCTGGATATCCTCCAGTTCAGAGCTCAGAAACCAGTATTGGTGCTGATCAGACTGCTAGAGGTGTCAGCCTCCCTGCAGCAACAACTGCCTGCTCTAAGGCTGTGCGTAATAAGGCTTGACTTAACCTAAACCTCCCTCGTTGATTAAAACCACCAGTTTGTCTTTCGAGGAGACCTTGTTGATAAGGCGACTCTGGGTTCGGGCGACTTCCGTGCGCAAAGCAGCGCGCTGTAACTGTGTCCAACCATCTCAGCTTCTCCAAGTCTCTCCCTCCTGTGGCAGTCCGAACAGCTGGATGTCAGATGACACACACCAGAAGCTGATGCAGTCCTCCTTTTTGCACATCCCCGTGATGGCTAAGTGCAGACATGAAGGAGAAGAATCCAGAAGCTACGTGAACGGCAGAATGAGCGACTCCAGTGGGATACATTCTATTTAGAGGAGAAAGATCCTTCTATACTCACCCACCAACTTCACTGGATCCAACCTGTCCCTTCCTCATCAGAAGTTACTCCACACGAGCATACTTCCATAATGCAGAAGGATTTCATCCCACAGGACTTGAGGGATATGCAGATAGATGGTTTCTTTCTCCCCAGACTTAAAGTCATTAAAAAAAGATACAAAGGACTGCTTTTGGCAGTATGGAGGCATTTAAGATTTGAAAAATATGGAGTGCAGGACCCAAGTAGATGGGGAAGCATTCAGTCCTTGACCTAATAAATAGAGTAGAAGAAAATCTTCAAGGTGGCCAGTTGCCAAAACACAAAACTTGAAGTCCTGCAGAGATCTCTAGGAGTTTTAGTGCATCACCCTGTGTGGGGGCATCTCCTAGGATCCACTGCCATGCAGTTTCTCTGACACTTTTTGCCAGGCTCATGGATTATTTGGAATCCTGAAGTTCCTTTGCCTTCTTCAAAATCAGGTGGACATCAGAGATAGGATAATCCTGCATCAAAGAAACAAAGTGATATAAGTGTCTCCTTAACAGTCCTTGCACACACCGCTCCACCCAAGCGGGACAACCCTTAACAACAGCATTCTCAGCCACACTGATTAACACCTCTAAGCTTGAGGTTAAACATTATCTTCAGCTACTCCCCTAACAACTAACTGTTCCCTGGTTTATTTTGTAACTGATCAAGTCTGAATGACCTTCAAGAAGGCTTTTTATTTCTCCTCCAAGGGTACAGCTAAGCTGCCTTGATACAAGTACTATCTTCATGCCAGAGGGCTTTATCAAAGCCAGCACCGTGCTCAGTCCAAGGCAAGAACTGGCAGAATCAGAGATATTCTACTGTTCAGTGCAGGTGTTTACAGCCCTGGGCTCTTGCAGACCTCAAAACTAAACAAAAGCCACTTGCCAACAAACTTAAGACTGTTATACAGGGTTCACATCTTTGCTGGAAATCATTCAGTTATTTGCAAACCAAAACAAGGTTAAAAAAAAAAAAACTCTAGCATAGAGCTTATTCTACAAGCGTAGAAGTTTTTGTGGGGTAGGAAGGGTGTGTAAGTGAGGAAAAAAAAAAAGTCTTCATTTTAACGGTGGTGCTGGACTTCAGAGAGTAGCACTGTGTCCCACAGACAGAAGACCAAAGAACATTATGCTCTGACATAGAGGCCACATAGCACCAAGATATAGCAGAAAAGGTGAGGGAGAGGGAAACAGAAGGAAGAGATTCAGACAGTGCTCAGAAAACAGAACTGACAGTGTTCAGCCATCTTCTGTGTATGGAAATGAAAACCAGCACAGGGAAAATCAGCAGCCCGGGGAGCAGGGACAGAGACACCACCACCCAGAAAGCCCAAGCAGTTAACTAAAAGTTTTTTGTCTTCAGTGAGCTCACGAGGACAGTTTCCTGATGGGTGATGGGGACCACAGTGCACAGAGGCTCACACTTCCAGTAACAGCCATGCTCTAATACCAAGCTTGAGATTTCTTGCACACAACCATCAGAAATGTGGCAATTCTCTTCAGCCAGGCATTCTCCTGGGATATCCTAGGGTCATCATGCTGTCTCACAGTATTATTTCAAGAGCTTTTCAAATTACTTCCCATTTCTGCTGTATTTAACTCTTACCTGTAGCAGCCTCATGTTCAGAGTGAAGTCTCCTTCCAGCAACTGATCCCGGATTAGTCTGAAAGATGGAAATTAATCCAGCTACTTCTGATTCTTTACAGAGAAACTTTAACCATGGGCCACAGGTGGCCTTTATAGATACTTTTGAGAACATGTTCTCCATCGTGACAGATGATTACAGCCCGTTCACGGGACGCATTAACCTGTGCCTGTAGAAGACTCCCGAATCCATGAATTTATGCAAAGGAGGGAAAGAAAAGGGCAGGAAAGAGCTGCTGTCACTATACTTACGTCAACATGGCACAACAGACGAGCAGAAGAAAATCAAAACGCTTGTCATCAGCAAAGAGGGAGTCCCAGATACGGATGACATCTGGCAGCAGGAACTCTTGGGACAAGAGCAGCGTCAGCCAGCGGAAGGCAAAGAACTGAGGTTTGATGTTCTGTTCTTGCTGTCAGACATGCACCAGGCAAAGAATGAGTACGTGCTCTCGGCCAGTTCCCTACAAGCAAGAGATGCACCCCATGTTGCCATCCCCATCTCCACCCTGATAGAGCTCCAGGCTGCCAACTCACACTGCAGCAGCAGCAAGGCCACCGCCTCCTTTGAAGCCTCTGGCATTTACATTGTATTGAGAGAGAGTATGAACAGCTATCTGTGTCTATAGACAAGTCAGAAAATGCTCTTCTCCAAGACATGGAGTAAAGGAACTTTTCCTGTCCTAAAGGCACTGGTTGGGTCAGTCTAGTTCTACTTTTCAAGCCACTTAAATGCTGGTCCAACGGGAACACTGATCTCCAACCCTTTCCCCCTCAAAAGGGATGCTGTTTTGATCAAGATTGCCTCCGCTTTCCAGAAGTCCTATATTTACCACGAATTTACTATTTACAAAAAAAAGACAGAGATGGAGCAGAGCTCATACACATAGCTATAAGCAGTTTTAGCCTGCAGCTTTTTTTTTTCCCCTCTCTATTTAAAAAATAAATAAAATAAATAAAAGGAGCCAAAATTTTAAGCATGTCAAATGATTTCAGGTCCTGACAACCCAGGACTAGCTGCAGCACCAGCAAAACCATTTCCTGCCAGCTGAACAGGGAGCACTTTATTTTCTCCCCACTGAATGAGCCTTCAGCCAACACTGCAGGTTGTGTCACTGCACTGACAGACCAATTTTGGATTACACAAGAAACACATCCTGAGTTTTGTAAGTGCAACATGATTTGGTGAAGGACAGAGTACTAAGAGCAACTTTTCCTTCCAAGTTCTCCTTGGCCTTTGACACTAAATGGACTGCAAGATTTCAAACTGCTTTCAGCAAAAGCTGCCTTCCAGATGCTCTGCAAACCCTCTACCAAAACAAAAAAACCCAAAACATTGAGAGGTCCTCAGATGAAGAAAAATGGTCCAATTTGCTGGGTTTCAGTTTACTTCCACAGTGATTTCTAGGTCCAGTTTAACTAGAGTTAAACTCCAGTTTAAGTCAGGGCATTCAGTGGCAGAGGGATGACTTTCTTTTTAAAATTGTAATTTAAAAGACACACATAATCCCTGTGATCTGAGCTTCCAAGGATTTTCACAGGAAAGCTCCTGTTTAGCCTGCTGAAAGCAAGAAAGCCCAGATTCCAGTTCCAACTAAGCTTCAACACAGGTGATCAGGGCCAAGTCACTCCAGAGTGGCAGCTTTGTGGCACTGTTTGCTTTCGCAGCCACGCACGGGAGGAAAGCTCTGCTGCGTCAGCTCCAAGGAGGCAGATAACACAGCCCTTGCCTAGGGGCAAAGTTCTTTCTACGCTCTCTCAACCTTCCTACTCAAGCACAGTAGAAGTTTAACAAGATGGGGTCACTGTTGAGTCCCACTCCTCACATTCCGACCACGACTCGGAGAAACACCGAGCTCCTCACCAGTTTCAAATACAGCTCCACATCTTTCTCCTTCAGGGTGGAATAGACCTTCTCCATTTTGTAGGTAATGCCACACTGAGAATCATCCAAGCTCTTAATGAAGTTGTCCCGAATCTCAGCCATTAGGTTGGTAAAGCAGAAAAATGTATCTGCTTCAGCGTGCTCTGAAAAAGAAGACGAGGGACGAGACGGAGCATCACTGACAGGCACCCAGATTTAGAACTGCTCTTGCTCAATAATCTGGCTGCTCTAGTGGATGCCAGTAGATCCAACAAGATCTTGGCTTGTTGGTCTGGGACAAGTTCAGGCATTTTATTATTATTATTTTTAACCAGAAAAATCTACAGAGCCATGGCAACTAGAGAGCCTGTGTCAAACACAAGGTCTTCATGACATGGGGTCAGGAACCAGTTATCTGCTGGCGAGAGCACCATCTGCTCTCCCTGCTGCCCGCACACATCCTCAGAGCTCCGTGAAGCAGGAATCACCGGCCAAGTCCTCCCCTTCCACCCTCTTTCATAAGCTACGCACAGTACAAGCAAACAATTGCTTACAAGGCACTTAAGTTTCAGTCAGGAAGTGCAACTTGGATCCATACAAATCAACAACAACAAACACTTCCCATATCCTTACTACTCAGAGCCCACTGAGTTGTCAGTTCTCCAGGATCTTAAAAATTCCTTATTTCTTGCCCCGCACCCCATAATCAGTTGAAATATACTACCAGTATATTTCCAGATAGTTTTGTGTCCCCTTTTAAAGGCAACTAATGCAGCCCTCGGTTGAGTTTCCCAGCTCCCAGCATGGCAGCCTCAGCTGGGCACCAAGGCAGGTTAGTAAACATTTCCTGCAGGTCAGTCCCCCTGTGCAGCCCATCCCTGCACACCAGGGTTCTCCCAAGAGAGTCCCATTCCTGAAGCAGGTCTTCACATAGAGCATGCAGTACGAGAGCCACTGCCGGGTGGCTGAAAGTCTCTCACCTTTCCACTCGCTGTTAGGGTCTGTAGCAAAGGTGTAGTAAAGAGGCCCCACTATTTCATTCATGCCCTGCACGTATGCGATGCCGGGGTTCAGCTTGGCATAGATGAACAGGATTCGCTCCACCACTTCCCAGTGAGCTTCACAGCCATTGGGCAGAACTTCATACTCGCTCAGAGAATTAGGAGGTGTTTTAAGAGGGGAGCTCACCTGAAGAGCAAGGTAAGACTAGGGCTGATTCTGGGTAATGAGCTGGTACAGTTTCTCACACGCGACAAGCTTGGCTCTTAACACACAGCTCCCCAAAAGATTTGGGCAGCATATCTTAAGCAGACAGGTATTCACACAGATCAAGACAGGTAACTCAGGAAGCACAAAAGCACTGAAGTCTGAGCACTGGATATATTGGAAGAATGAACCAGTCTGAACAGTTACAGTGTCCCCAAATCACAGCATAAGCTGCACTCGTGCAGTAAGAAAACATCTCAGTCCCATTTGTTAGTAGTGGAGGGAAGGGACAAAGCTCTATTAGTAGCAAGCTACCTTCCCCAACAGCAAATATGTGCTGTTAACACAGTAATGCTCATGAGGGAGGAAAAAGACACCATGTTTCAGCAGATACCCAGCTCTTCCCAACCCCAGTGGTATGAGATCCAGGTCTGGAAGACCATGCACATTTAACTTCAGTGAATTTGCCCTTCAGTGCTTTGCTCCCATGCAGCAAGACATACAGGTCA